AATAATTTTGCTCACGTTTCGACATTTTGTCAATATCTGCGCCAATGATCGTCGCCTTCTCTTCTCCTTCTCCCTCTCTCGCTCTCTCTCTCTCTCTTTCGCCCACCTTTAACATCAGTCAAAGCACCTTTTCTCCCGCTCTGCTGCCACTTTGTGCAATGATTCTTTTTTAATTGAATTCTAAAAACGTTGTCAATTCTTTGTTGTTGTTTGTCAATGTTGTTGCTGGTTGTTGTTGTTGTTGTAGTTGTTGTTGCTGGGTCGCTATGCGTTGGTATCTGAATAAGGCATAAGGCATATAATGATTATATGGGGTATAAGGTATGCCCATCAAATTGAACTCAGCGTGAGAGAGAGAGAGAGAGCAATATATGGAGTGGGAGAGTGAGAAAGAGAGTGAAGTCAACCTTGTGGTATGCGGCGTTAACTTAACTTAACTCAAGTTGTTGTTGTTGTTGTATATAAAAGACCAAAGCATGATGGACAAGAAGCACTTAGGCGTTGTTGTTGTTGTTGTTATTACTGTTGTTGCTTTTATTGAGCGTTTTGTTTTTTCGCGCGCTCTTGGACTTGACAATTACACGGCTATATAAATATATGTTTGTATATACACACATATGTAAACATATATATGTCTACTTTTTTCAATGACGTTCGTTGAATTTGTTACAGTCATGGTTAACACATACACACACGTACACAGACACAGACAAATGACTTTACACCCGCCTTGTTTTAGGTTTATAATTATATTACTTTGTTTTATTATGTTCAGCAAACGGCAGCAGTTCAAGTTCAATTGTTAATGTAAAAAGCTTCACAACCTCAACCACACACACACTAACACTCACTAACACACACACATACATACATACATACACACGTTTCTAATTTTTAGTTTTTGTAGTCTGGTGAATAGCTAAAAGTTACTAAAAAGCAGCTAGCTTTTTAGCTGAAAACCGACTAAATATAAATACAAATCTGCTAAATCATTTGTAATATTTATGTCGAATGCCTCAATAGAATGCCTTGAATCCCGCTAGAAGTTAGCTATATAAATTTATATTTAAATAAGCTTTTCGCTTTTCACAAATAGCTCGAAAACTGCTTGCTCTAGTAAATAAGTCAAATATTGACTCGAAAACCTGCTAACAACATAGACATAATAAGTTTTCTTACAATTTTCTTTTTCTTCGTTCTATTAAGTTTAGATAGCATAATAATAGTTATATAAGAAAAAGAAATAAAATAGAATAGAAACACCTAGTTAAGCTTCTGTAGATGTCACCTTTTGCTGTGGGGAGCATTTAATTAATGCCAATTATTAGCTTAATTGAGAGCACATCGAAAGGTCATTGAAATGCATGAACTTTTGACTCTTAAGCGAAACGGCGGCAAGCGTTAAAAGTAGCTAAAATGAATTGAACTTTGGCTAGAAACCCGAGAAATACATGAAAGTACATGAAATTTACGCATCTGTAACTAAAAATATTCTAGAAAGTTCAGTTTTTTTACACTTGCTCATCTCTAACAAACAAACGGTCTCTAACTGAACTCTCATAACTTTCAAAGAGCAGGCCTGCTTTATGGCATCTAGGACACATAGATTTAGAATTGAGAGCTTTCTAAAGTTTGTTAAGCGCGAGCTTTCGTAGCCGTTACGCGTGCGCAATTGAAAGGCATGACCTTAATGATGGATAAGTCAACGACAGCTGGGCTATGAAGACAGATGCTGCTAAACCTTTGACAAAATAAATGGAGAAAAGAGCGAACGCCCAGGAATGCCAAAACAAACAATAAACATAACTCAAGACGCGCTGCTAAAAAAAGTCGACGTCGCGTCGATGTTGCCTCCATTATTGATGTGACTGATGAATAAACGTCGCGACGCGACGTCCACTCCCAAAAACTGAGCTCAGAGCAGTGCAAATGGCGCGGGCGTCGACGCTGTTGGGTGACAATAATACTCACGAGAGCTAAAGCAAAACAAAAGCAAAGCAAAGCTAAAGGCAAAGGCGCACAGGCAAAAGTAATGTAGGCGACGTCGCTGCCAGCGTCGCTGTTTGCGTTGGCTGTGACCGCGACGCGTATAATTTACACGTTTTGCTCATTTGCGATTCTGGGCGCGCAGCTGAAACAAAACACAAATGAATTAAAATCGCAAAAGGGTTACCGAGGGGTAAAGACAGAGACAGAGACAAATACAAAGACAGAGCGAGAGATAGAGTGCCCAAGAATCGAGTGAAATTCCAACAAGTGGCGTAATTGCGCCCTGCGGCGGCTACCGTGCGGCCATCGATAGGCTGCACACCGAAAGAAAGGCAGGCAAAGAGAAACGAGAGAGAGGAGTGGGGGACGCACTAGACAGGCAGTAAAATCGCAAATCATAAATACAACAAACAATAAATAAGTGCATGCGAGAAGCCAAAGAGCGCAAGAGCCAAAGAGCAACAAGTGTGCGTGTCTCAAGTCGTTTAGCTGCTGGCGTCGCTGCTGCTGCTGTGGTTGATTTTGCTGCTGCTGCTGCTGAGTGCAAAGTTGAGCAGACATAATAAACGCGAGGACGCATAAGGTGAAGGAGACGGCAATGGCTGCGACTGCGCAGTCTTCGCTGCTCGTCATCGACAACTGCACGCCATCGGCATATAAAAAAACCAACAACAACTCAGCGCTGCTTTTTTAATACTCTTGCTAAAGAGAGAGAATTTGCGTAAGCTCATGAAGTTTATTTCGTTCAAAAGAGAGCGATGATTGAATATCGATTTAGAGATGACAAAATTTTTTGATTAGTAAGACTTGTTCCCAATCAGAAACATTTTATATAACAGTCGATTAAGAAAAATCGATCTAATTACATGTAATTCGTGTGAATTGAACCTATTTAAGCTTAAATAAATAAATTCTTGTATTTATATCGATTACATTAATCAACATTTACTGACTGGCAAGACAGTAAACATAAACTTGACTTTTTTCATTTGTTAGTGTGTTCAGTATTCGTCAAAGTTCGCTGATACTTCTCCCTTATTTCTTTTTTGCTCGACTGCAACTCGGTTCTCAAGTCTTGCTGCCAGACGAGTCAGCATTCCATGGCCATTTGCAGGGCAAAAGTTCGCGTCAAAGGTTTCGAGCAAAAAGCTTTAAAAAAAGGCAAATGAAATAAACTAAAGGCAATACAGGGTGCCAAAGAGCGAAGACAAAGGTTAAAAGAATGCAGCCCATATTGATATCAGAAGTACAAAAACAAAAACAAAAAAAGGTTTTTGTTTCGCTTCTGTTTGCGTCTGTTCTCCTCTTCTTTATCTACTTCTTCTTCTTCTTCTTGTTATGCGCACCTTCTGTTCCTGGCCGAAACGTCGACTCGTTTTGCATTTTAATTTTATTTCAGTTTTTTATGATGATCGCGCTCATGACGATCATGACGATCATGATGATCATTGCATGCTTGTTTATTCTCTGTAAATACTTTATTTTTGATTATTTTAATTTGAAAGCCGCGCTGTGCGTTGCCTTATTTGAGCTGCTCTCCCTCTCTCTTTCCCTCCTCCTCTCTTCCTCTCTCTAGGTGCTTTGTTTTAATATAAATTTGCATGCTGAATACTTAATTTGAGCCAAGGCGTGGCTGTAAGAGAAGCTGCATGCCTGCCTCAGTATTGGTGAGCTTTCGCAAGCTCTGCAGCTGCACAATGGCCAACTGCAAAAGCTTTGCCCATCTGTGTAAAAGCTTCGTGCTGTCCGTGTGCAAGCTTCGCTCTGACTGAGTCCAGCCGTTGAGATTCAGCTAAATTTGAAATCTGAATAAATTTGATTTCATTTTGAGAGCTTTGTGCATCCATGAGCCAAGTTAAATTCTCGTTTGTTAGTTGCTCAGATCAGAAAGTCAAAGGTGAGCTTCGATGACATCATCGACGTCATGATTCTTAGTAATTATCATAATTAGCAAGCGGCTGCAGCTGCCGGAGTCGATCTATCAATCTATGGGCTCAGTCTGAGGCTGACAAAGGGCTTGGCAGAGTTCAGCCAAAAGGCTGGCCAAACGGTGGCAAGCAGGTGAGTCGCCACCGACAAAGCAACAAGCAGACAAACAAACAACAACAAAGCACCAAATGGGAAACGAATACAACAAAGGAACGCAAAGAAAACAAAACGCGCAAACAAAAGGAAAAACAAAAGCGTAAAACGATAGTTGAACTTTCAACACCTAGTTTTATGCTTGATACCCTGTAAAATAGCAGAGCCAGGGGTAGTTTAGCTCAGGTTTGTAGTATATATCGATATCTGTCCCTATCATATATCAAAGCTATTTGAGTTCATTCCAAGCTATTCGAACATGCCTACCTATGCGAACTCAGCTTACAGTGAAGCCTGACTAATGAAACTTGCCATAGTGCTTGCTTTTAGCTGCATGCAAAACATATGTGGAACCCGCTGAGATCAGCTTTATTCATCCAACCATATTATATAAGCAAACACTGAATGAATTTTATATTAACAAATAAATAAACATATTTAAAATAATTTTTATTTTTGCCCAAAAGATAAGAACTATATTTAATCACTATTATAATACTGCACAGTTTCAGAAAGTAGACGCGAACCAGGCACCGAACATTTGTACAAAATTTAGGGAACTAAATCTTTGGAAAGGGATCTGGAATCGAAGCTTGAATTAGAGCTAAATATAAGAGAGTTTCCTTGAATCAAACCAGTTAAGACAGTAAAAGACCAAAATGAACTTTATCGAGAGGCTAAAATCTTTTATCGATAATTACAGGGTATTAAGACTTCAAGACTTCATTGCTAATGCTCGTTACGTTTGTTTTTCTTTTCAATTGGGGTCTGGGAGTCTGGGGTCTGGGGGCTGGGGGCTGGGGGTCTGGTCTCAGTCTCGGTTGTTGCTGCTGTCGCATTAAACAAATGCGATAAACGCTGCTTGGACAGCTTGGGGTGGGGCAGGTGAGGGGAGGTGGCAAAGGGGCGTGTCTTGCACTTGCACTTACCGGAATAACACCAGGCTGGCCATACTACAGTTGTCTCGCTATCAATTTCCTTCATTATGGTGGGCTCAACATATTGTCAAAGACCACACCGCGACGCTCCGATCCTATCCGATTCGATTCGATTTGATTTGCTCGGCTCCTGTTCCGGAAATGAAATAAAAGAGGAAAGAGTGTGAAAAACGTGCGAAAGAGCTGGCAGCAGTCGCAGTTCAGTTATCGAGTTTAGCTGCAACAAGTTTTCTTTTTATTTGTTTATTTATTTCTTTTTTATTTGTTTTTTTGGCCAATTTTTCAATTATGTTCGAGGCAACAGGTTGTTTGTCTTTGTGGCTGTTTTTGTTGTTGTTGTTTGTCTTTAATCTTCAGTTGTCTTGCGTTAATGTCTTCATGTTTTTAGCTTGCCTCGGACTAAGCAGCCCCAGCTAGGTGTTTCTTTAATTAATTCACCTGTTGTCAAATGCACAACTGTTTTTTTTTTATTACCCAAATACCCTGTCGTATTTAATAATGAATACTCGCACCGGGTATATGGAGTGTGAAGTATCCCAAAGGGTTAGTGTTAAATAAAAGAACACCTTCATATAGTATATAGTATGGCATATGGTAGAGAATATCGGAACTGTTTTCAAATATATAAAGTTAAAATATATATGGGCTCTATATGGAAAGTTGGCCCTTGGGCTTGGGTCTTTCACTCATCAATTCAGATTTCTGTTCCATATTTGGCTATTTCTCCCTTTACAGGGTATTCTGATCGTCCAATTGTCTCTCCTTTCGTCACAGTTCTCTTTTGCTTAAAGTTTTATGTTCTTTGCTTAGAAATTAAAAGCTTCTAAATGCCGTCAAATTTCATTTAACACACATATTTGCTATGCACGACAGAAAAATTAATAAAAATAAGAAAAAATACAACAATTTGGCAAATTCTGCTGGTGTAATAATTCTCAACCGGTTTAAGCTACAGCTACAAATATTATATAAATAATTGCAGACGGCTATAAATAGTTGATAACTGAGAGATGAAGAGACGCATGAAGTACATAAAATATATGATATATATAGCATATATAATATTTGAGTTACATAAAATATATATATGAATCGATTCATTCACTAAATTGTAGCTATTGAAATTTTATTGTAGGATTAATAGTTTTCAAATCAAAACGGAATGAGGAAGAAAATAAAGGAGCAGCAGAAGAAAAAAAAATAATTGAAACCTTTTTTTGCAAAGTTTAAGCAATAAAATTGATCTACAAAGTTTAAGGTCGCAAATATTGAAACAGCTTTTTTGCTTTACCTTTTTTTTGTGTTTTATTTTTTTATTTAAATTTATTGAAATTTTGTCGGTTGTTTTTGTGTTTGTTGTTGTTGTTGTTTTTGTTTGGCCGCAACTGCTGTCAATTTGTCAAACGAATTGACAAAAACAAAAAAGCAAAAAGCAACAACAACAACAACAAGAGAGGAAAACGAGCGCACACGAAGCGAAAACAAACGCCGCAGTTTGACTTAATTGTTTTTTTTATACCTTTATAAATATATTTACCGATATATATATATATATATTCAAATATATAAAATATTTTTTTATTATAATTATTTATTTTTAATGTGCGTTGCAAACTGAACCTGTTGTCGGAGGCTTATTAAAATTATTATTATAAACAAACAATTTTACATCTTTTTACAGCTTTTTTGTTGTTTATTTTTAGTTTTTGAACTTTTAACTGTTTTGCTTTTTAGTTGCATTCGAATTTCCGCGCTTCGCCAAATGTATTTTTATACATAAAAACATTTTTTGTTTAATGAACAACACACGCGTTGCATTTGCTCTCAAATATATAATATGTATTTACTTTTTTTTTCTTTTCTTTTATTTTATATTTTTGCAATTTTTTCAAATTATTTTTGACGCTTTGACCTTTAAAGATTCGATATATGCTTTGATTCTTATGAGCATTCCAATTGGCATTCACTTTTCGACTCTGATTTGCATTTCACATTTGCACTTTGCGCAGTTATTGCGTTGTTTAAGATTGAAAGATACATTTCGGATATTGTATCTCGCAAGATACTTTATTATTATATATTTGCTTGTTAATTGTTGAGTTATTGGGCGTTAAAGATATCTAAAAGATACATTTTGATACATTTATTATAGTTGAGATATTGAAAGATACGTTTTCTAAGAGATACATTGATTGTATCTGACAGATACTTTTGTGTTTGACCTATAGTATCTTAAAGATACATATGTATCTTAAACTAAAATTTCATATAATATTGTATGTTTCAGATACTTTTTGAATTGCAGCTGCATTCTACGTATTGCATCTAAAATATACCTATTTATTCTGTATCAAACAGATACTTTTTGCTTTGTTTGCACTGCAGCTGTGGCTGGTCACGTGCCAGCTACGCATTTGAATCTTTTCGTGTTTTTCTCTTTTATTTTTTGTTATGTCACGTGAGCTTGTTGCATGAACCGTTATTTTGTTTTGTTTTACTATGCTGCGCTTGGGTTACAGCTTAATCCTTTGAGCTTTTAAACCGTTTGACGCACGTTGCACGCATTTGCGTTCATTTGTTTTATCAGCACTTGAGTTGTTGGTTTTGGTTTAACTTCTTCTGTTTTGTTGCGCGCCGAAAAAAAGCTGCGATCGGTTCTTTTTATTTTTGTGCGCGAGCGCAATTCGCACGACTCGCAGCGCAAACGGAAACGTACTGAGCAGCAAAGCCGCAGCGGCTCCCAATTGGAGTCGCCGCTCAGCACGTGCACACCACACACACGCACACAAGCAAGCGTTGCTGAGAGCGCGCTGCCCGGCATAGCAAAGTTTATCAGTTGACGACGAACGCTGCTCTCTTTAGCTTAAGCTCTCTTAAGGTCCCTCTCTCTCTCTCTCTTGCATTGCTGTGTGCGTGCGCCTTAAGCTTTATCAGCGTCGACTATGAGCTCTCTTAAGCGTATTGCAGCGCAGCAAAGAGCTTTATCAGTTTTCTCTCTCTCCCTCTCTCTACCTTTCTCTCTGTCCCTCTCTATCTTTGCTGAGAAAAAAGGGTTCAATGAAGGTCAGCGGGTTCAGAGTTCGTCACCAAGCTGCACTCAATGCAAATGCTTGTCTCACTGTCTGTCTCTCTGTCTGTCTGTCTGCCTGCTGTGTGTGTGTGCGTATCTGTGACTGTATCGCTTGTCCATTTGATACTTTGGCCTCGTCTGTCAATTGTTGTTTTTGTTGTTGTTGTTCCGTTGCACTTTTCGTATTTGCCCAGTTGTTGTTCATTCGAACAGTGGGCAAAATGCAGCAAGAAACATATGCATATTAATTGCAATGGCAAGGCGTTTGTTCTAATGAAAAAATATAACTATAAATAAGTATATATTGTATTTATATTCATAAATATATATATATATATATATATATATATTTGTATTAATATATATATATATATATATATATATATATATATATATATATATATATATATCTAGATATCTATAGGCAATTCAATGTAAATCAATATCATTTGATATCTGAACGACCTAAACAACCTTTAGAAATCAGAATAAAAACATAAAAAATACAGATATATATATATATATATATATATATATATATATATATGTATGTGTGTGTGTGTGTGTGTTTGTATTGGCCCATAGGCCAGCAGTCGCCAAGATACAGCTACAGATACAGATACAGATACTTCTGATACAGATACAGATACAGATGCGCCGCACACTTAACCCAAACGAGACCAAAAAGCGAACAGGCGGCCATTGCGACCGACCAAACGACCGAGCGACCTGAAATATTTTTAGAACTGCGACGACGACGACGACAGCGACGCAACGGCATGCATATATTGTAGACCCCTCCCCTGTCCTCCCTCTTCCCCCTTATCTCTCACTCTCTCGCTCACTCTTTGCCAGCTTTTTTTTAAGTGTCAGGCCTCGTGCCGCGCCCCGCGCCCTAAGGTTGCGACGGGACGACATTTGCCAAAGCAAGCAGGCAGACAGACAGAGAGAGAGAGGGAGATGGAGAAAGAGAGTCTCACTCACTCTCGCTCTGGCTGGCGAGTGAGGTCAGAAGGTCTGTGATCTTTGCAGCGAACTGCAAGAACAAAGCGCAGAAAATGCGACTCAAAGGCACATAAAAGCGACACATGCCACATGCAAAAACAAAAACCAACACAGAAATATTCCTATAAGAAATCACTTTTTCACTTGCTGTTCCCAAAAGCGTAAATTCCAATTGGAAAATATATAAAGACTGAAGAGTTAAAAATAGAGCTAAACTTTAATGAAAGCTATATTGAATATTGGTATTAAGAATATTGATGCCCTCGACTGCATAATACTCGTTAGTGATCCAAAGACACCCAAACGCACTCACAAACCAATCGATCATATCATATCATCAACAGCTCTTTGACTGTACGATGATGCTAGGTCTAGGCTTGTATATACGACTATATATATTCCATAACTACATATATAACATACAATTTCTGTTGCAGCAGGTGGAGTAGGAAATCCTAGTGGACGTATTGGGACAATCTTCACATTTTATGAGACGAGATTCCGACTTTCATAAGGAAAGGCTGATGGACAGTAAGCAGGAGATGGCATAAAACCAATATACTCTTTGCAGTTCGTGAGCAAGTATTAAAGTGATCTATAAGAAGTTGTTCTGTTATGAACGTTTTGAAACAAGATCAAACTTTGCTTAGCTTTAAAGATTTTTTCAAATTACGATAAAACTGTGACTTCATTTTGTAAGCATTTAGCGTATCCAAAGCTCTATGAAGAGGAAGTGATGTTTAGAAATATTCAATATATATATTTTTGATTAAATTTATGTAAAATCATTTATTGGAATCGTTAGATTCATTACAAATATTTTGCAAATTTTTCAAAAATTACGATTTTTGGAACTCGACAAAGGCGAAACACGCGAAATTTGTGTTTATTTTGATTCATTTGAGATTTCTCATATTTTGGCACAACTTTGCTTCGACATATGATGTGTGTGTGTATATGTGTGTGTGATTTGGCCAGCAAAGCCAAAAAGTCAAATGACAAGACGCAAAAAATAACGAAAAGCAAAAAAAAAGAACAGCAGAGGGTAAACATAT